GGGGGTTCCTTATAATTATAGCATAATGGGCCCCCACACCCTATTCTAATTATTAGAGTGTCGAGATGAGCTGCTTTGCTTGAGCTCTGAGATCACAAGTCCTGCCTCAAGGCGCATCCAAGACGCTTGGTATCGAAGTGGAGTGCCCTACTTCCTCGAGGAGTGGTCAGCACTGCGACTCGAACCTACGACCCACAAGCCCATACAACACCACAGAACCACTCCACAGACTCCTAGCCTCTTACTGTAAACCCAAACCTCTGCAGTGCAGAGCACAAGGCGTTGAACAAGCCAGAGCACAGCGAAGCCCAATTCCAAAGGTCATTGTGCGGAGCGTTCTGCCGGAAACGCATTTCGCTTATTGCAACTGGCTTGCCGCATTCCTGCCGTCGAACTCCTAGTGTCAATGATTGAAGCCCTAGGAGAATGCTCCCGGCTTCGTCATCGCTTTCGTCGTGGCGATCGTTGTTTGGATCCTGGGACAGCAAGTAGCAGAAGTGAAAGTGAATGGGATTTGAGGCAAAAATGTTGCATAACAGGTGGAAATGAGCAGCGACGTCATGCACTCAGTGTGAAAGTGCTGCTGCTTACAATCATCCCTGTTCCGCTAGTGGTACGGTCGGCAAAGCATAATGCATCCGTTTATCGTGGTCGAGACATCCATGACTAGAACTTTGCTAGAATGCTACCTCTCTTCGACAGTTAAGTGTCGAAGCCCGGCAACCCCTTTAGCTCTACACAAACACAAAACCCCAAACCCAATATACCCCTAACCCCTAATGCCATGAAACCCCCTTTTCCAAAAGCCTAAACAAGCCCTAAACCCCCTACGCCAGCCCTAACCCCCCTAATCCCAAACCCTAAACACTAATCCCAAAACCCGAAACAAGCCCCAAACCCCCAAAACCCTAAACAAATCCTAAACCCCTCTTCCAGAAGCCTAAACAAGCCCCAAACCCGTTCCGCGCTCTGAAACCCCAAGAGCCCCAACAAGGAACCTTGCAGCTGGCCGCGACTGAGGCATGGATGTCGTGGGACTTCCGTAAGCGTCTTATGTATAGGGCTTAGGGCTTAGGGTTTAGGGCTTAGGGTTTAGGGTTTAGGTTGATGATATAAATCCTGCAAGACCTTAAGGACCCTAAACAATGGTAGTTATGGTATGTTCACAATTATGGGTAATGCAGGATTTTATATCATCAACCGTATGATATGCTTTTATATAGTATCATCTACTGCGATATAGCGTAAGATTATATGACATTATATGATATCATATAATGTAAGAAAGCTTAAGATGATATGGCATGATATGATATCAGATATCCTAATATACTTTGATTGTTACGTTCAGGGGGGGTTGCTGTGGAAGTCGAGCGTTCACCTTAGAGCCTGTTCGGCTTGGTTTAGGGTTTAGGGTTTAGGGCCCAGTTATCAAAGCGGGGTCTGCCAGGCGCTGGGCGGCCTGTGAACCTACGATGAGGGCGCTGCAGCTTCAGGGTTCATGGGTTGAGGGTTTGGGGTTTAGGGTGTAGGGTTTAGGGTTTTCAGGGTTTAGGGTATAGGGTTTAGGGTTCAGGGTTCATGGGTTTGGGGTTCAGGGTTTAGTGTTGAGGGTTTGGGGTTTGGGGAAGAGCGTGGCAGTGTCGCACCTAGGAGTTTCAACGTTGCTGTCGGGGCTTCCTTGTCACGCAGAAAGCAACCCAGTGCACAGATGCAGGATGCTGCCAAAGGCTTGCCATGGCACCCTGAGGTTTAGGGTTGAGGGTTAAGGGGTTTAGGGTTTAGGGCCTGCTGTACAACTTGCAAACCTTAAGCCCAAAGCCAGCATGCATAACACCCCAGACTCGTAAGATGTGTTGCAAAGCCTGCTCTGCGGCTGAATCCTGTGTCAGCCTGAAAATTCTTAAATGCACGACTCCGTCGAAAAAGGCGTGCTCTTTGACACGGACCTGTGCTCTAGCTTCAGCCAAAGTCAGGATTCTCAATGTATTTGTATCTCAGCACCACTTGACTTTACTCCAAGAATCCAAGGAGTAGTTGAAATAGCTCCTGTGCCGCTGTTTTGGGCTCTGCGCACGGATCAGAATTCCGTGCAGCCGCCTGTGGTTATCTCAGGCCGTCTCCTACGGGGTTTATACGGGTTTGTTGGACGTTTCCATCTTGTTCTGGGTTCAGGGGCTAGCGAATTCGGAACGTTAGAGTGCTGTTAGATTATGACAGATCGTAGTTGCAAAGGTCACAATGTTGTTTCGCAAGCAGGACCATTCGATCTCTAAATAGCCCAGCCAATCCAAGGTGATGTGGGCAAACCTGTGAAGAGGCTCTGGGCAAACAGTTCAAGGGTCGCCAGAGATGGGAACCAGCACTCCGCAAGCAAAGCCCAGAAGACCCAAAAACAGGTCCCCGGATCTTGAACCTGAAATTCGTAGGTCCCAAAATAATTTCTCCCAACATTGCTCGACTGTCGAGGCTGGCAGCATGGATCAGTACCAAAAGATTGAGAAGGCCTCATTCCTCCTGCCTCCGTTTCCTGGGATCTTCGAGATACAAAGCTTTTGGGACGTCCACCTCCCCGAAAATCTGCCCTACTGGTTTCGGGGGTGGGCTTCAGGGTTTGCGGAGACTTGCGGTACAGTGCATATTCCGAAACACTCACAATCTCTGCAACCAGACATCCCAATAAAATCCAGTTGCGAGCACTGCTAACAACAGTGTCGCGGCTTGGCTTCAATCCTCCTCTTCGAACCTTCATGCGAGCACACTGCACAACAGCCAACTAAACTGCCAATCGAAGACTTCTCTGCATGGGAGTTGTGCGTGACAGGGAACAGCGATGGGATTGAGTCGAAAGCCTCCAGTACTGATTATCAGGGCGTAATCTGCTTTGCAACATTTTTTGTCCAGCATCCATAGCCATGGAAGCCCTAAGTTCTAAAACCTAAGAGGACACGGCCATGGAACTGGCCAACAGGCATGAGTCGAAAACAACGTGTTTGATGTAACCGGCTGGTAGCAATACATGAGCAAACAAGACTCCTTTTAATCATAAAGTGTCTACCTGAGAGTGCTTGGGATTTTTCAATATGGGAATACTAGCAATATAAACCCTGCTTCAGATGAGCTCACAGACTCCAATAGCCCGAAATTTTAGAGTATTCGGTTTAGGGTTTAGGGATCACTGTTCGAATGACTGACTCGATTTGCAGAGAATTGAGTGCTCGGGGCTCCGAGACCACCCCAGACGTGGCTTGAAAGGCAAACCGCTTCGATGAAAGTGGTAATATAGAAGACTGAGTACTTAGTAAAATTCTGCCTGAAGGCTCCTCAGTAGAATTATACTTTACATTCCGCGAACGACTATTCTAATCATTGAGGCCCTTTTGTACCCGAAGCCTTCGGAGACGCATCCTGTGTCCCCAGAGGTGGGTGAAGGGACTTATGGCGTCGTGTACAAAGCGCAGGCTCGTAGCTTTTTGTGCTGTTGGGTAGTGATTGCAAGCTCAGTGCTCAAGACAAGGATGATTGGGCCTAGTGGCAAGCTGCCCTTCAGAAAAACTCAGCAAACAATGATCCAGTTCTTCAGGTGAGCATTGATTGCCGTGCATTAAACTACAGAGAACACCTTCCCTTCATCAGGGATCACGCCTCACCATCTAAATGTTGGATCTCACGCTGCAACGTGCTGGCTTCGACCGTAAAGCATTATTTTGATGGACGGACTTGCAGTGTTGTGAGTGTGACTTGAGTTGTGCTGTGTCTTTGGCTGCTGCCATGGTATACCCTAAACCCTACACCCTAAACCCTAAACGCCCAAACCCCTAAACCCTAAACCCCCAAAACCCCTAAACCCTAAACCTATAGGTCGTTTGTGGCTGAGTGTCACTGCAGGACTCTGCAGGCGAAATCTATGCTCTGAAGACGATTCGCCTTGAGGCCATGGTTGCGAGCTCACCGTTCATTTTAGGCCTGTTTGGGGTTTAAGGTTTAGGGTTTAGGGTTTCATTTCCTTAAGGACGAAATGATCCTTGAAAGGGTTTCAGGTTCATATAAAACATAGGGATTCATGTACAAGGGTATAGGGCCCATTACACACATCCTCAGTATAATTATAGTGTATTCCTTGTTAAAACTATAGTGTGATATACCCTGCAGTACTCCATCCCATTACCTTTCTTTTCGTCCGGAGCCGGTGCATCACGGAGCAGCTTCTGAAAGATCTGTCCATGCCAACAGTGTTCACAGTAAGGCTACATGCCGGAACCCGTATGACGTATGGCCATCGCCATGACCAGCCTGGGAAATTCTTCGTGTATTCAGCTTGGAGCATGGCGAGGTACCACGAGCGAATAGTCAAGAGATATAGTATATTACAATATGATATGATATAGTATGGTAGCATCTCATATCATCGGAGTGTGTATGACCCGACATTCTAGCAAGGACAGAGACTCGGTCGTTATTCTCTTGTATCAGAAACCTGAAGCAGGTTCGAGTTGGTTTAGGGTTTGGGGTGCAGGGTTGCTATGTCAGAGATACATTGAATCCGATATCAGTTGGCGTTAGGGAAGGATCTTGGTTAATGTGGGGGTCGAATGACTAGCAACAGTATCCTACATTCCCTCTTGCAAAAACTAGCTAGGGGGAGGAGATTACAAGTCGTCACAGTTGCCAGAGTCTGGTGAGCGCCCGCAGCTTCTTTACAGAGGGCAGAGAGTCCTCACATGTCACTGCACACACGCACAAAAACCACAAACACCATGGTCATGAGGACACTGTAATATAGAAGCCTAAGCAATCACCCGTACTATTCTTCAAGTTTCCTTATGATGCTATAGTACTAAAGGCTCCACAATCAGGGAGCGGGCTTCCAGTAGTTTCGAAACTCATGGGAGCTGCAAGTTGAGCAGGACAATCTCTGGAGTAGCGTTGCGCAACATTGGCAAACTGCGAATGCCGCATCTCTGAGCTGACTCCATGCCCTTGTTGTGGCATCAGTCACCATGGGTGTGCCTGGACTCCTGAAGGCACTCAGTGACGTGCCTTGTCAGCCACGAAAATATTAACATGAAGCTATACCTTCTGGTCCACACCAAAATAAGGCTGCAAGCCGTCGGATCTTTGATCTTCAAGAGGCTAGCTGCTCGTGAACACAACGGATTGTGCACATATTGGCACAGGGACCCTGAATGCTAGGAAATCCCCAAGCCCCCAACGTGCAGCTACACAAACTCTGCTCTGTTGAAACAGCTCGAAGAGTGATGATTGCCAACAGCACTATTTTTGGCTGACCTGACCGATGTCTTGGTCTGAAGCCCTACACCCTAAACTCTAAACCCCTAAACCCTAAACCCTAAACCCCTAAACCCTAAACCCGGGCAACCAGGCGGTGAATTGACCAAGTCCCAGGTGCAAAGGCCGGTCCACGTGTCCGAGTACCGCGGCCTCACCGTGGGGATAGTTCCTGGCTTCATGTTAGATTACTTATACGACTCTTTATCATCCGAAAAAAGAGCTTTAATTACTTATATCACTCTTTATCATCCGAAAAAAGAGCTTTAATTACTTATATCATTCTTTATCATCCGAAAAAAGAGCTTGAATTGCTTATATTACTCTTTATCATCCGAAAAAAAGCTCAGTGACAGCTTGGTGCTGAGGATGCCTACTGCCTGCTCCATCGAGGGAAGCTGGGCTATGTTGAGGCCGACCACAATGCGGTAGGCTTGGATGTTCTTTCTGGTTCCTGATTTTGATATTGAGAATCCGACCTGGCTCGTGCAGGTTTCGAGGAAATCATGAATGTCAGATTTCCATAACTCGTTTATCATGCAGGCTGGCTTTGGTGTTGAATCACCAACCTGTTGTTCTACTTCTTCCGTCAGCAGGACAAGACCTACCCTCCATAGTTGGCGCAGTTTTGGCTCAGGCTCGAAACCCCAAACCCTCAACCCTGAAACTCTGAACCCTATAACCCAACACCAAATCCTGTACCCAAACCCCTGCCCAGAGCCGTAAGCCCTGAACCCCAAACCCTAAACCCTAAACCCTAACCCTAACCCTAAGTTCGAAAAACCCTACCAGCGCCAGGCCCTGCTGCATGAGACTCCCGATGCCGAGAGCCTTTACCAGGGACCGGCCAGAGGCCCAGTTCCCAGAGTGCCAAGAATACTTAACTAAGGAATATACCTTAAAGTATAAGGGGCTTCATATTGTGGTTTGAGGTATATTCCTTATTTAAGGGGTATTGGGCTCTCTGGGTTGTTGGTCTGCAGGACCATAGTAATACCAATAATACTGATAGCAATCATCATACTAATAGTAACACAGAACTAGAATGTCAGAATACGATTCCTTGAAGGGTACAGTCTTACCGGCCTGAAGAATCTTGAATAAGGTTTTTTTGTGCAGGGCAGTACAAATACCAACAAGGAACTTGGAAGGCGAGGAATCTGCAACCGTGTCTTGTCTGTTGGTACCGTAAGTGTTCAACGTCATAGCTTGAAGGTAGGGTCTAGGGTTTAGGGTTTAGGATGAACGCTGTTGATTTGCGCTTGAGGTTCCATCGAGTTTCCAAACCTCTGCGGCCTGTGTGGCAGCGCTGCTGAGGTCGGTCACGGCTTTGGAGGAATCGTGTTGGTCCTTGACTGTAAGACACTTCAGATGGGGGAAGCTTGGAAGGCCAGCACGGGAGCTTTTGGACCTCCTACAGAAGGTGGGTGCTGCACCTAGACAGCATTTTAGAGACGTGTGTCGTGGGAATTCGCGGGTATGCTACGAGAACCTCCACTCGCCTTATTTGCAACACCGAGGAACCCTTCTTTGTTTTCGATGGGGCGCCACTCCCAGCCAAGAGTGCGACAGAGCTTGCACGCAGACAGGTGCCGCGTCCGTAAAGTCTTTGCATTAGAGGAAAAGGGTTGGCAGTTACTGCTGCGCCTTGACATGTTGAATCGGCAGAGCACGTGTTCGGCAGGCGCGTGAGGAAGCAGCGCGCATGGCGGCAGTGGCCGGTTCCACTGCCTGGGACCTAAGTGCGTTTGCAACAATAACATGCCGAAGTTTCTGTGCTGGTTGATGGTTGTGTGTGTTATGGAGTTTGCACCTGAAGGCTTGAATGGAGTTTTAATGTAGAAGCCTAAATGGTTACCAACATTATTCCTTCGCCTTATTATAAGTATACTATAAAGGAGTCCAATTAAAACCTTATTCTAAATTATTAAGGCCCTTGCATTACCTGAAGCATCCGAGTTTCTGCTTGTTGGGGTCATCTCGTCTTCATGCTGGCGTGTAGGTTTTGGACAAAAGCTCTTCAACCCCAAAGGGGTCTTGATTCTCGAATCAGCGTGAATCCTCTACAACCTCGGACCCAGGAGGTTGAGAGCATGTTGGTTGTTGGTTAGTAGTCTTTGAACTAGCCCAACCTCTTTCGCCCAATTCGTCAAGGCCAAGCGTCTCTGCGGCGCTGTGGACATCACGCCGGACATAGTTTGGGCAGCATTGTTCTGCTTCAGTGAAGTTCATGGGCCAGTTTAGTGTAAACCTGGTCCCGTGCTGGTAGCAGCCACCACAACTGCAACCCAAGAACGATTCCACATTCCAAACATTTTTGACCAGAACCGGGGAAACACTGGCTTCATGTGCAGGGTTTCAGATGAGCCGTGACCAAAACTCAACCAAGAAGGGCCCGCAATCTCAAGCCCACCGGAGAATCCAGCATTGAGAACAAGATCAAGCACACTGCTACTCTCTGCGCTTCAAAGCGAAAGGTGTTGCTCGGACAAGAGACAATGTTCTGTGTTGCACGTGGGTGCTCCACCAAGTACGGCCGCATGCGCCAACACCACTCGCACTCAACAAAGACAGCGGGAGACATGCCAAACGAAGAAAATCTCAACAGCCACAAGCACAAACACGAGCAACCTACAACAGTAGAGCTAGAAGGATAGGACGGACAGGAACAGGCAAAACGCAACGCATTAACCAACGACAACCAAGAAAAACAAAAAGAAAAGCAATCATCAACAACCTAGAATAGGAGCAAGCGTGCCACGAATGACAACAGCCGCGACCGGCACAAACACGATCACAACAAGAACGGCAACACCTGCAGCCCCCGATACCCCAGCATCAGAGGCGGCTGACAGCAGAGACCTGATAAAGATTTCATACATTACATTGCCAGGAAATGGCATCTGCCTGCATCGAGCAGTTCAGTCCGCTCGGGGTGAGGTGCATCGTGGCTCCTTGTGGCTGGATGCAGCAAGCTGAAACAGTCATGTCTAGCTTTCAGAAGCCATTGCAGTGCATGGAGCCTCCAAACTGTTCCTGGGCGTTGGTTATGATGTGAAATACTGCTGATGGACAAAATCCTGCATGACCTTAAGGGAATTATGGTATATTCCTTATAATGGGTCATGCAGGATTTTGTCCATCAACAGCAGTGCTACCGAGGCGAAGCTGATGCACAATTGGCCTTCCTTGCACATTCGGGACGTGTTGATGTGGTGGTCCCCTGGCAAAGAGTCACATTTACGAGCTTGGGCTGTGGAAAGCAAGCAAACAGAAGTGGACCGGTTTCTCGTGTTTTGCTGCACTCATGGGCATCGAGAGCACAGGTGAGTGAAGACGTGGACCTCCTAGCTTTCGGCTGCCCGCGAGTCCTCTTCGGTCTGGACGGCATGTGGAGTGAAGGGTTCATGCCCCCACCGATCGCTCACAGCTTGGCTTCTGCAGGATGTTCGCAGAGGTTGCGGTCAAGAAGTTCGATTGGCCGACATAGGACACTGTGTTTCGGGTTCTTTTGTGTATCAGGTGGTTCGATGTCGGAAGATTTCGAGGCAAAAGCCGAACTCTGATGCCCTACCGTTTGACACCGGAGCCTTGTCACAAAGGCTATGCACGCCAGACTGCCTAAGTGAAGCACCACCCGTTGTCGGCAAAGTTCTGGGCTCAGGAAACCCTTCCAGACCTTTGCGTGCTTAGCGGCTGTGCTGCTTGGGCTTACATCGAGGCTGCTCAACCGAATTTGCTTCAGAAATCCAAGCTGGATGATTAGGACTACTTGCCGTCGTTGCCCCGCTTGGGCTTGCGCCGTGCCGCGCAACTTCTTCACCGTGCTCGAGGCTGTGATGGTTCTTTGTGCCTTTTTTTCTTCCTCTAGATGTGGCCGTTGCTTTGGATCCTGTGAGTTTATTTGGCTTCGGCTGGCTTTGTGCAGATCTCACCCGGTTCAGGCAACGTGGAGCGCGCTCTGCAGCTGGCACAGCGTGATGGAATTAGCGTGGCTGAGATTGCTTTGGTTTCGTTTCCGTGGCAGCAGAATGGATGCAGATCTCAGTCAGGTACCCGACGCATACTTGCAGGAGTTCGTTGAAGCCCGACTGGTCTACACCTGTCAGCTGGTTGCTTGTTACGCATGCTACGCTGCTACACAATGCGGTGCAGAGTGCGGTTGTGGGTCGGCTGAGACTTCTTCCGCCCAGGTTTTCGACGACCGTGCCCAGCAACTGCGCATGCTGTCGCCGCTTCCAGCATCTGCCAGCAAGACCAGGCAGCACACTGCTTGCTCACTCTGTTTGGGTCCGGTAGGAGCTCAGGCAGTTCATGTGAGCTTCACAGCTGGCTTTGTTTTACGTACTGTTGTGGCGTTGCACATTAAGCATTGCAGTGGTGATTTTGATGCAAACAAAGACAGTGCTAAAATAATAAACATTGCTTCAATAAAGTCTACATCGAATCTTTTATCCGATAACCTTTGCATGCATGCAGTCGCCTCGCAGACTTCTTCTTCTTCAACCTCTAGGCAAGTGTTTTTGCTCTTCATGAGCTAGCATCAGAAGGGGAGAAGATGAAGAAGAAGGCAGTGTTCTTTCATGGGCTTGAGACAAAGCTCGAGACTTTTGCAAACTTCCTTCCGAGATTCCCAATGGATTTCTGCGTAGCTTCGTATTGTTTGGGAACACGCCAGACCCACGTGGAGAAGGAGAACGTGTCCGTTTGCAACATGTCTCTGCTGGTGCGCGCGATGATGTGCTGCACGTGCTCTTCCGACATGCCCTACACATCCAATGTGCCTCGGCATTTTTCACTGCGACGTTTCCAAGCGATGGCAGAGAAGAGAGAAACCTCACAAGACACTTCATCCTGAATTTTCCGCCCCGACGAGCGGCCAAGATTGACAAGGGTGTGGCCGAAGGACTCTTTGTATGTCCAGTGCTGGCCCACTGTTCAGATTCAAGGTTGAAGAGGCAGCTTCGAAGCCCTTTCTGCTGAAGGATCTGAAGTCCCCGTGCTGCTGCTGCCTTCTTCGTTTCCTTTTCTGCTGCTGAGCTTGATGCTGTTCAGCACAGAATTCCATCTAAATGTTCCTGAAGGGCCGACTTACGCTGGAGAGCCGACTGTCCTTCCAGAAGGGCAGTTGGTGTAGTGGTATCACACCCGCTCAGCATGCGGGAGGCCCCGGGCTCAATCCCCGGACTGTCCATTTTTCCTCATGGAGATTGGTCAGTGGCCAAGAACGAGGTCTGTGGATATGCTTCGTTGAGATCAGTCGTCATGATACAGTTCAAAGTATCGGTGACCGTCGTCGTCGCCCCTTTGTCTTCGTTTCGCAGTCGTCCCAGTCATAGGGTTGCGGCGTTGTAGCCTTAATCCGGACACATTCATTCCACGCGTCATTGTCAACACAGTAACGCACCACTCTTCGAGCCAGTTTCCCAAACAACTTGCTCACATTGCAGCCGTACGGAGGCTCGCGATGGTATTGAAGGGTACAGCAAGCCCACAAAACCTTCGAGCCAGTTTCGCAAAGAACTTGCCCACGTTGTAGCCGTGCGGAGGCCAGCTTGTAGGACTGCTGGCTGCTTCGCAATCGTATCGAAGGGTACATCAAGCCCACAAAACCTGTCTTCCCACAAACAAATCAACCCAGGGTGGACCCGAACCACCATGATTTGCGGCTGCAAAGTCTTGGAGACTCCGAAGGGCAACGCCTTATCCATTAAGCTACGGGTCTGGACTCAATGATTCCAAATTAGAAAGATTTTCAAATTTGCAAAAGTCCAGCATGCTGACCCAGTAGCCTAATGGATAAGGCGTTGCAGATTCGAAGTCCCCTGACTTTGCAGGCGCAAATTATGGTGGTTCGAGTCCGCCCTGGGTCGTTTTTGCGCCTGTAAACTGTGGTTTTCCTTGCATCGTTTTCACCGGCGCAGAATCTTTGTATGTGCGACAGTCAGCCTGCAAAAATAGAAGGTGTTGTTACCTTCGACTTAGCACACACATAGCACGGCTTGGCAAGCGCAGCAGTAGCAGCGGCTTCCTACAGTAGTGATCCAGAGAAAGTTCAGGAGGGACATCGACACCCACGTAAACGGTCAAACCGGTTGAATCCGGAAGGAAGCGCTGGCTGGGAGCTCGAAATCAATTTTAAAGTACAAGTTAGGACTCATCTCGCAGACTGTTTGTCTGTCGGCTGTACTTGCACAGGATCACTTTTACAGTGATTCCACTTGCATACACAACAGTCTTCAGAACACCTCATCGATGCTTCACTGCTTGATGAAAGGTCGCTTCGTGCATATTTTGCAGGTTGCAAAGTCCGGGCTGGGCTGGGCTGGGCTGGGCTGGGCTGGGCTGGGCTTGAAGTGTTTCCACACGAAGCTTTTGCATCTTGGTAAAACCACATGGACTTCTCGAAAGTTACGAGCAGTCCGGACTGCTGTTCGTGCTAAAGGATTGATCTCTGCAATCCTCGAGAAGGACAGCGGAGCTCGCGTACAAATGCCCGACCTTACTTTCGCGTTGATGATGGTCGATGCGGTCGTGCTCTTTATCGGGTTCATATCAGCAGTGCTATTTCAGGTTCTACCAAACGATTCGCCCTCTATGTTCTCCCGAACCCCGAGTACTTTCAAGCAGGGTTTGACAAAGTATCCTTAGTTCCCATGCTTATTGGCATGGACTTTCTTGAAAAGGATGGCAATGGATTCATCCTTGATTTCACGACGGGCTAAGTCACAAGCTCCTTTCATAAAAAACATGAAGTACTCCAGCTCAAACAAAAGCACAAGGGGCACTTCATGTTGGATATTCGGGAGACATGCGAATCTGGAAGGTCACGCGTGGTAGTGCACCTTAGCCAGAAACCCATGTTCTTGAATTCCATGTTGTGCAGTTTGATCTGACAGTCAGTGGCGTGGTCCATGAAAGTGCCCTGCTTCGAGACTTGTTGAGATGCACCAGCGCTCGCGTGAGCTTCAAGGCCTCTGTGTGTCAGCTGCGGAGATCCTCGCTGCTGCGGCGAAGGCCAAGGCAGCTCCAAAGAAACAAAGGGCTCGCTCGCTCGTTATTGGAGGAGGAGCCCGAAGTGCTGCCATGCTACGGCCGACATCTTGCCGACAAGCCCCAGGCCAACCAATGGGGTCAATGGGTACACTGTCAGGTGTGCAACCTGAGGGAACTTTACACTCCCCGCAATTAAGGGAGCTCCGGCGAACTACACCGTGACCCACAACGCCGCCATGGTCAAGAAAATGCTATCCCAGCCGAAGCCTCTTCTGGGGGATCGTCTCCACGTGTTCGCGAAGCTCACGGCCGAGGAAGTCCTGGAGGAGTCGATTCAGGAAATCTGCTCGCATGTTGCTTAAGCCCAAAAGCGGGCTCTCATTGAGTTCGACGCCGTAGCCGCCTCGAGAGTCAGTGCATAAGACTCCACGCACTCGTTGGACTTGTCGCTCGGCACTTTGAACAACAGGGTCTCGAGGATGTCGTCGCATGCCTGCTCCCTGCATCTCCGTCCATAGTAGTCGAATCCGGAAGTTCTGATCCTAAGTTGAGCTTGTAGGTGTGACGTCGTACTTCACACACCATCTCCTGAATCTCACGAGCATGTGAGAGGCATCCGCCCGTGACCAGTTCTGTCAACAGTAAGTTGCACCTCGCACAAAGTTGTGGTTGCGTCTGCATAGCCAACCATTGCAACTCCCCAAGGGTGGTGCGGCCGAAGGCGTTCAGGTGGTATCTCCGGTCCACTTCGATGATGAAGTCGCCATTTGCACATTGCACGCTGGTGACATCCGTTCCAGCATGACGATAATTCCCTTGCCTCGTCATTCCCCACTTGTATGACCTTCTCCTTGACGGATAACCATTCCTCGGAGCCATCTCCAAGTCGATGAAAGTCATCTACATGGCCACCTATCGCTCCGATGACCAGTGGGTGATCACCATCTAGTCGTTCCTGTGACTTCCAAACCCACATACACGTCTCTGCCAGCACTGGTGTTGCGCCCAGTTTTTTTGTCAGAGTCTTGTGAAGGTCAAGCCATAGTCCACGAGGAGCCGTCGTAGAACCGTAGATGTTGCGGAGAATCCGCATGATGGCCTCGTCACCTACACCAAGTGCTTCACGAAGTTCTTCCACCCCTGTAGTCCACAGTCGTTCATCTGCTTCCGTAGGTTGAGTCTGCAAAAAGGCTGTTGCAAGATCCAACCCCTCTATCGGCCATTGGTGTTGTACCGACATCTGATACGGCAGATTTCGTCCTATGGACGATTGCACAGGAGCTGCAGTCTTGAACTTCCTGTCCAGCGCTCGGATGTTGAAAACCAAGTAGTACTATTCGTGCTTTCGCCTTCTTGGTGCCGGTGCTGTTGTGCGTGGTCTCCGGATTGGTCTTGGCGTCATCCCGCGCAGCTCCTTGATCTTCTGGAGGTACAAGCTTCCATGTCAAAACCCATCTCGCCTTCACAATCCTGTTGCTGTCGTAGGCCTCGCGAACTTCGTCGTTGTCCAAGCATTTCCTCACAGCCTCATGGGAAATGAAGGAGCTGACCTCCTTCGCCTTGGCTCTTGTGAAGAGGATGGTTGGAGAGGTCCACCTCGATCTGTAGGAACTCATGGGTTTCTTCAAAAGCCGCGTAGATGTCCATCTCCTTCTCTTCCAGAGCTGCCAGACCTTATATTTCGTTGACCCATGAACCGTACTTCCGGTTGGTTTCGGCCAAATCATCGTCCTCTTCCAAGCGCGCTCGCTTGGGATCCGGTGCTTGTTGAGGTGGTGGTTGATGTTGTCCGCAACCTGCTGCCGTCGAAGAAGAAGTTTGGTGGTTGAGTCCGGCCCGTAGTCATTCACCTCTTCCGTCTGAAGTCGATCACGTACAGGTCGGTCGGTATAGTCGCGGGTGCGGAAGGAAGTTCTTTGACGAACTCGACGTTAAGGAACTTGAACTGTGGTATCATCCGGCTGTTGTGGTAGATCAGGTAGTTCACGTTCTTCTTCATGCGGTTCCTCATCAACAATGTCCTGATACTCACAACGAGGTAGTATGTCTGCCAGATGCTGGGGTCCTCAACAGATGATGTCTCGTAGACAAAGCGTTCTGTCTCTGTCAGAGCATCTGTAGAGTCGAGCTCCCAGAAGGACCCAGACTATATGTCGCCGTTGATCACCGGGTTGTTGTTGAGGAATCCAATGACGGCGTCCAGCCATCTTCATTCCACCACGTGGCCCTTTGTGAACTTCTTGAGGCCACACTCGTCGCCGACTCGTCGCCAGATCTTCACGAAGTCCATCTCCTTGAACTCGCGTAGTGGCTGTCTCACCGTAGTATTTGCCAGCTTGGATAGCACTCGCTGCGCCTTTGTCTTCCTGGCAATCTCTTCGGCTTGTTGTCGTGCGACTACCAGTTGCGAGAAGTCTCGGTGTTGGTGGTCAGCTTCACTGGCAAAGGTCCTGCAGTCCTCCTCGCTGATGTTGTAATTCCTTCCATATGCCCATTGGAACGCCGAGAACCCAGCTGTGTACTCGGTGGAGTTGAGCGCTGCAGCTGTGAGATGTAACGTTACGAAGGGTCGTTGTTCTCGAGCCTCAAGATGTATAGAGGTAGCTGTAGCCTTCACATCCTGCACTGCTGCCTCTGCTACACCATGACTCCAATGTTCCTTCTCGGCAATGAAGTGGGGAAGAATGTTGATGGAGGACAGAAACTCATGCATCCTTGCTGAGGTGAACGTCTTGGCTGCATCCATGATCACCACTCCATCGTTCGGAAAAGGCTTGTATAACATCCTCAGAATTTTCTGCCTTCATCGCTATCACTTCCACGGTTTTCAACGGAACCACCACTCTAAGCTTTGTTGCATAGTCCATGAAGAGAAGGAACTTGACCTTTTGACGGGTACCAGGTACCGGCCACTCAGCTGCATCAACGGTCACTGCTTGCCAAGCCTTGTACATGGGCGACGTCGATGCTGGTGGGATACTTCCTGCGCTGGTGCTGCCAGGTTTGTTGGCTTCACAGGCTGGACATCGATGCTGAAGAGCTACGTCAATCTTCCACTGTTGGATGGCCACCGTCAGATACGAGCCAGATTGCGATTGGTGGGATGTCCTGCTGCACGATGAAACTTGGACACCTTGGACTGCCATGCTTCGTACTCGGCTTGGCTAACGCCTTCTGGGGGACCACCACTCTCCACGGCTGGAAATATGTCTTCTACGACATGGGCCACAGGCAGATGAGATTCTGACTGATTCGGCTTCTCAGCTGTCTGTTGTGCTGAAGCCACAGTGGCCACAGGTAGATGAGATTCTGATTGATTCGTCTCCTCAGCTGTTTGTTGTGCTGAGGCCATCTCTGAGGAAAGCGGTTGTAGTGGATCAAGTGCCCGTGTAGGGAACCCAAGTTCCTTCATCGTCTTTTTCTTCTGTTCATCCATCCAAGGTGCCAGTCTCGTCGTGTAGACTGCAATCCAGACCACTTTTGAGAGGCATGACGTTGTCGAGGGTTGAAGATCACGAACTTGTTCTTGGTAGGTGGAGTTCAAGTACTTGGTGAGCTCCTGGTTCTTGAACGTCAGGCGAGAGATGCCATTGAAGGCGCCGTGGGAGTAGGCGCCCAGCCCAAAGCTGTTGACTCCAGATGTAATCCCCCTGCTGTGAACTCTGCCTGAGCTTCGACCATAGTCGTGTAGTTGTTGGAGAAGCGACGAGCATGTCTCCCAGTCAAACCTTCCATAAACCCGTGCTTTTCGGGCTTGATGTTCATGTTGTATGCGGAAGGACTCGCTGAGAAGGGAGTGGTCAACCAGGTTATCATCCGTATGAATCACCAGAATCACCATATCATCCACCACCTCCACTGGCTCGGCCTCTGGCCACTCATCACATAGAGCATTCCTCGTGTAAACCATAGACACCCATCCAAGCGGCATCCAAGCCATGGCACTAGCTTGAGTTCAAGCCATTCTCGAAGATGTAGAAGAGGAGCTTGCTTCATCCAGCCGTGGTTGTTGGTAGGCATCTCCCAATAGACTTGCGTCTCATCATCCATGGAGAGCACGCACTTCACAAAGTCCACGGCATAGCCAAGAACCTTTCGATCCTTCCGCCGCTGGGTGTCCTGGTTCCGTTGTTGAACGGGGCTCTTGCTTGTCCATTGTCGACCAGGGACACCAGGCTTGACACGGAAGCGAGAACCACACTTTCCTTGGCCGTCGTTGATGCCATAGCTGTCGAAGTTGGTTCCACGCATCCTCCTTCTGTAGGTCGTAGCCGCTCTGTAGGTTGATGGCTCGTGGTTGTAGTCCATGGTGCCGCGCCCCAGGCCGGGTGCGACCCGGAAAACTCCCAGATTCCATCTCGTCCATCCAGTTGCAACCCAACCAGTGTAGACGCCGTAGCTGCCACCATGAGGGATGCCATTGCCATCACCTTTTTGCACCACATGTTGTGTCATCGGCCTTGCCTTATCACTCACGGCACCACTTCTACCTCGTTGGAGTAGTCGATCACCAGCTCCTCCACGTAGTCCGTGATCGTGCCGCTGGGGTAGCGGTGGTTGCTGCTCTGCTTCGAAGTTGCCGTAGGAGGTGTGGCGCCGATGGCTCTTCAAGCCTTTCAGCTGCGAGACAATCTCGAAAGAGTTGGATGCGAGCTGAGATGGCTGGCCTCCGACTACGACCTTGCAGACGCCTTGACGAAGAAGAAGCTGGAGGCTCGACAAGGACTACTGAAGTTTCTTTCGTCATGGGTGTGGTCAATTGCATTTGACCGCAACTTCACGAGTGCCAAGAAAGCCAAGGCCCAAGGCCATACAGCAATAGGTGCTGCCGACGATTTTCTTGGAAATGGCCCCTTTAGAGAGCCTCTTGATCTCGGGCGCCTGTCCACCGCTGAACAGAATTTTATGGCCATGCAACTTGTACAGAGTCAGCAGTGCCAGGGTTCAGATGCTTCCTCCCACATGTAACATGTCGGCTCTAGGACGGGGCATACAGCCTTACGGCGCGGACGAGCAGAGCGCTCGTGCATGGAAAAGTGAGCGTACGGAACGCTTGTGTGAGCCCTTTCTGATTACGCTACCGCTGCCAGCAATAATCCGCTGCACTTTACAGCTATTTCAAGCTGCTATGGAACACGCCGGTATTCCCGACCATACGCGACGGGTCATTATGGCGCTTTATTATGCCAATCCCACCTTTTTGGTTATAGGGCTCATCTCAAGAGTCTGAACACAAAACGCAAACAAAACGATAACGACACGGTTGTCCTCTTTCACCATATCTTTTTGGTTTGGTATTGGCACATCTCTTCTTTGATGTCGAACAAAGCTATCAAGCACATTTTGGTGAAATCTCTGGAGTTTTTTCACGTCGTCCCCTCCCTCAGTGGGACCTAGAATGACACCGTCCCACTATCCTGCTCCGCTACACAACTTAATCGTGGCCATAACCGCGGACCAACCCTTAACCAGGATAAGTGTGAACACTTACGTCTCCATTCGAATGAATTTTCTATTCTCCTGGTAATGTATGTCCCTGTGACTGTCGTTTTTGTACTGGGTATGATCATAATGATCATAATCTTAATCCAGTTTCTCTCTCGGAAGAGGTAAAGTACGTAAGGGTCTGCCTGGACGCGCTTTCATCTGGCAGACAAAATCTGAATTACAGAGTATCTCAGGCCGTATCGGCATCCAAGATCTTGCGTCCTTTGCTGGCGCACTCTGCTACTACTACTCCTACTACTTCTACGACCATGACTACGAGGACTGCTACGACTCGACTGCGATTGCGACTGCGACTACGCGACTTCTTTCCATTCTGCTGCTGTATTTGGCTTTGCTACTATTGCTTCTGCTGCTTTGCTACTATTGCTTCTGCTGCTTTTTGTGCTGTTACACCACTACCCAAAGAGAAGGGGTATTATGCCTTACTGCTGCTGTTCTACTGCTGCTCTCTTGCTGCTGCTTAGCTGCGATTGCGACCGCGATTGCCCAATACCCTGAACAAAAAGGTATTGGGAATTGTTTCGGTTCTGATGCTTGGTGCTGTCCCGGTGTCCCGTACTTTGGCAACACAACCTCAAAATCGTGTTGCTTCATTTCCCTTGTCCAGCGAGGCAGTGTTGGAGATGTTTGAGCAAGTATGTAGCAACCAAGCAAATGTTTTGTTTTCTTATTGATGCGGCTGTAGCAGGTTGCAACGGCTGGGTGTCGGCCTTTTCGACAACGAGGCCAACATCGGGAGAAGCGATTGCTGCATGTCATCCTTGGGTTCGAATCAACAACGCAAAGTTGGAGCTTGGTCGTTTCTGTTGAAATCGGCATGGCTGCTTCTGGCAGGTGGCACTTGAAATTGCAGTGGGGCAGAAGAACCCAATGACATTGGTGGCGTTTTCGCGCACATCCTGTCCTCCACCAAAGTGGTTCGGTGGGTGCGACGTGTTTCGGCATGTGTTGGTATTACTTTTGCACATCGAGTCTTCCATGCATCGCAGTCGTTTCATTCGAAGCTCATCATTGATCACATGCTAGGTGACAGGAGATGCTGTTTGTGCATTGCCCACTCCTCTCCGACCATTTCGGCAACCTCGAGCAAAAGATGGTACTGCCGCAGCAGCCGCGGTCGCTTGACAGTTCCATTTTTTGTTGGGTGATCTTAAGGTTTTGTTGTCGGTTTTTTCGTGCTCCAGTGTTTCGTCAGGTGGTGTCCAAACCGCAGCAGAACGCGGACGCATCTTCACCAGAACAGCGGAATTCGATGACCCGGGTGTTGGATGTGGATGCTCGCCTCACCTCGTTGTCTTTTGTTCCATAAGCATTTGATTTCGAGTTCCTTGCATTACAAACTTGCTTTGTAAGGACACGATCCTGGATGTGAAAATGCCGGTTTCACGCAGGTTGGTGCCGAGCAAGTACATTACATGTTTATCCCAGTCGAGAGTGTGTATGGTTCGTGTTTGTTTTGGCGTTCATGAGGCGCCGCCTGGGCTGCCGTGGGCCAGAAGTTGGACCTGCATCATGTTGAGTGGCCGACGATGCTGATTTTTACTCTAGTTTTTTAACACTGTCTCCTGAGATGAAGCAGACGCTTGCCAGGAATTAGATGCATTGGAATGCCTTTTGCATGTAGATGTAGCTTCGTAGTACGGCATCCGACGAGCGCAGGGCATTGAATGAAGTGACTGTCAGCGCAGCAACAACCCAGAGAGCCCAATACCCCTTAACTAAGGAATATACCTTACATCATAAGGGGCTTAATATTATGATAAGGTATATTCCGTAGTAAGGGGTATTGGGCTCTCTGGGAACAAAGAGCATGCTTCGCAAGTCGATATTGGTGTGCGATGATTGCATCAGGCAGAGGATGAGGGCATCCCGAGTACTGCCCGCGCTTCAGCCACGGGTGCAGACTTGGGGACGATCGCACTAGAAGCATAACATCCCCTTTTTGTGTGGTGTTGATGATTTTGTCCTGTTCCTCCAGCCGTGTGCACGGCGGTCTTGGAGAAGAAGTAGTTGTGCTGCCCTTTCCGAGGCCATACGAGAGATCTCGCTTCTGAAAGAGCTACAGCACCCCAACATTGTCAGGCCTGTGAGTTGGCTTCTGTGTTTTCGGCAGGCAAAGAGCAAGTTTCCGACTCTTCCGCTTGAAAGGCTTTGTGACGTGATTCACACGGAACGAAAGTTGACGCTGGTGCCGGGTGCTCGGGGATGTCACGCTTCATTGCTGTGTTGCTGAGGTTCAAGTCTTGTTTTCATCTTCAATGCCCCAAACCCTAGACTTGCTGCTCAGGTTTGAGTACTTAGATCAAGACCTCAAGAAGTTGCTGGACATGTGCGACGGTGGCTTGGACCCTGCAACCACCAAGGCTGGAAGAACCATAGCATTTGAGGGTTCAGTGTTTTCGGTTCATGCTTTAGGGTTTGGCGTTGCAGTTCAGAATAACGTGTTAATTCTTGTGTTCAAGTGTGCCAGCATGTGCTCGAATGACAATCCGATTGAATCTTGTGAGAGTGGGCAGAGGCTGAAGACAGCCGAAACGTGTAGAGAGCATTTTGTCTGCTGTATCTCTGCCTGGCCAGTCCTTCCTGTATCAGCTTCTACGAGGTATTGCGCACCTCGGCACTGAGAAAGTAGTTGAGTTTCCGTGTAACACAACGCGCATAGACTGTTTCCGAATGCCCGTGCTTTGGCTTCGTCATGGCACTTGTTTGTCAGCACCTCGTTCACTTGCCTCGCAGCTTCATGTCCCAGCGATCCCCTCTCTCTCCCAATGCAATCAAGCAGTATGTTCCAGAGACCTAAACCCTAAACCCTTAACCCTCAACCGAATCTTGCTTGCGTTGAGGCAGACTGCCATCCAAGGTATTGCCATGCGCATCGGGTCCTGCACCGGGATCTGAAGCCCCAGAACTTACTGATCAACAGGGCTGCGCCCTCGGGATCGGCGTGACCAGAGAATTGGTCTCTTTAGAAAGACTGTTTCCGCTGCTGTGTGTCTTGCCGCTCGAGGAAGGCTCGCTCAAGCTAGCCGACTTTGGTTTAGCACGCGCTTTCGGCATCCCTGTGCGGACGCTTTGCTGCAGAGCCGAAAGTTTAACCCTGCCTGACAGTTGCATGGGAGTAACACATGTTGCAAGCTCAGCAGAGGCAGCAATTCTGTATACTGTCGCTTGTTGTCCTTTCGAGAGCCGTGACCGTGTGTGCGAGCCGAGTTGAACAGACTACTTCTAGTCAGCAATCGCAGATGAAGCCCCTAAACCCTAAACCCTGAAGCCATCGAATACATAACCAAAGTTCAAAACCAGCCGAGGAGCTACACGCACGAGGCCGGCGGGCCGGCGAGGGCTGGCGGGGATTCGTGGCTCTGGTAGCGCGAATGTGTCGTCTTCAAACCACAGCACTTTGTCAAGCACAGCTGTAGCAGACGCATGCAGCGAGACATGGGCCCTCTTCGAGCCTTCCCCAAGAACCAACCCATCAGTGCACCCTAAACCCTAAACCCTAAACCCTAAACCCTAAACCCCAAACCCTAAACCCTAAACCCTAAAGCCTAAACCGTGAGTCTGCCCACACAGGTTGTGACTTTGTGGTACCGGGCGCCTGATGTCCTGATGGGTTCTCGCAAGCTTCCAGCTCAGCACGAATGGCTCGTCGAACGGACGGTTTAGGGTTTAGGGTTTAGGGTTTAGGGTTTAGGGTTTAGGGTTTAGGGTTTAGGGTTTAGGGTAGGTTTGTACAGGTCGCTTGGGACTTTGCAGCCAGATCTGAGTGATGCAAAGAAGGCGCTGAATGGACCCTAAACCCTAAACCGAACCCAAACTTGGGCTGAGGTATTCGACACCTGTAGACATCTGGTCTGTCGGATGCATCTTCGCAGGTGGAACTTGTCTTGGGATGCCAACCGGACATGATGTTGGGCTTTGCGGTTTAGGGTTTAGGGTGGCTTTGGTTGAGTCTTGAGTCGTAAAGTTTCTGCACTTCCGCAGCTCAGATTTTATTCGTGTTATGAAGTGATGAAGGGCGAAGTAGAATTCAGCAAGTGCTTGAGGAGACTGCATCCTTGCCCAACAGCTGCATCGCAAATTGCAGGAGTACGAAACGTCATAGGTCGCGTTCTAGGCCCTTAGGCACTCCTCCAAGTAAGAAACGCCGCAAGCTCCGCCAGAAATGGTCAATGGTCGCCCTCTGTTTCCTGGCGACACAGACGCGAACCAGCTTCAGAAGATCTTTAAGGCCTCATACCTTTTGTTCTGCTCAAAGCTTGTCTCTTGCGAGTGAAACAACTTCAGTTGGGTTTTCTTGCTTGCAGTTTCCAGTGGGCCTGGGTCAGTGCAGCGATGTTGAAAGCAATGCCTGTGCTTGGAGTTTGATTGCTGAACATGAAGAGCGAGACCACCCCAAGCTGCCAGATCCTTGGTACTCCGTCAGAGTCTACTTGGCCGACAATCACCGAGCTTCCGGACTGGAAGCCCGACTTTCAGCAGCCGCTCTGGCTCGTTTGTGACAGCTTCGTGGTTTCACCGTTCGTCGCTTTGTTTCTGGGGGTAGGAGTTGTAGTGTGGAGCAGTGTCTTTTCTTGAAAGCAAAATTGCCCTGCGTCAACGAAACCTGACAAGGCATGCGGGCATGTAGAGGCTCAACCCCGTCGAAACCCAAAGCCCGAGTTTGACAATCGTGCCAGGTTCGAGCCTCAGGCGTGGAAGAGCATTGCGCCAAACCTTGATGCTGGGGCCTAAGTCAAGATTTGATTTTTGTGCCGAGGCACCCCTAAACCCTAAACCGTGATGGGGCTGGGAGAGTCGCACGTGGCCTTTCTGTCGGTTTGTTTGTTTGGTTTTCCGGTGTCCGGCTGCAGTCTGCCCTTTTGAGCTCAGGGCATTGTGACTTCAGGGTTTAGGGTTTCAGGGTTTAGGGTTTAGGGTTGGGTTGAAACTATCAAGAGGATTGAACTGTTCTAGGCGAAAATTTCGGGATCATTTCTTGGTGAGACACGACCACCCTGCAAGTCCTTTCGAAGACCGTTTAGCTCCATGCGCCGAGTTGTGCCGCCCAGAATCCAGCACATCCTCTCTCCAAACAACTTGAATGGCACAGACCAAATTTCTACGTAAACATAAATCCACACACCCACTCACACGTTTGGTAGTCCGATGGTGGTAGGTGAGTTCGTGACAACTTTTGGATTCATGTCGCACTGCTTGCATGGCTATACGAATTTTGTTTCAGCAGAGCGGTGCTGTATTCGTTGCTGCAAACAACAAAAAACGGCAAGCAGGATTTACTTAACCAATATCGCTTCGGGGGACTCTAAGTACAGTCTATGTTCAGTGATTCCGCGATGTTATAGGATCACCTTGGTGTTTTTTTCGAAAAGGTCTGCAATATGTTTTTACATTATTATTGAATGTGATATTGACGTTCGTGCAGCAAAATTGCGAGATTAACTGAGGCAGAAGTAGCAATATTGCATTTCGTTTTCAAGCCACTTTCTAGCAAATACACCAGCGCCCATAGCATTGCTGGCTGTTTGCCGTTGGCCACTGGCAGCACTGGAAGGAAAGTCACGTCTCTTACCCAAATCGCTTCGACTATGCGCATTCTTGGCAGCGATGTGCATTGCAGCATAACATAGAGCCAGCAGCAAGATAAGCCGTTTATTTGCAAGAGTATTCTTGGCTAGTCCAAGCTGAAGAGGAGAGTCGTGCCACCAAAAGGGCCCGGGTTGTTAAGTATCTTAAAGAAGTCAGCTGATCAGCATCGCCAAATTTGTAGTAGTTCTGTGTATCTATCCTAAACCCTAAACCGTAGCCCAAGAAGTATTGCGAGTGGTGGTCTTCGTGGCCTCTCCAAGAAGATACGACTGTTGCAGCAACGTGTCTGAAACCCGTTGTGGCTGTGCCCAGAGAACCGAACCAGACAGTTCTAGTGCAACGACACAATCACAAGTTCTGGATGTTGTTGTTTAGGGAGTTTTGGGGTATTGCGTATTTACTTCCGTTGTGTCGTACACATTCTTGTGTTGTCGGGGTCGTCAGGTTGTTACTTACACGCAAACTCAAACTCTCTTGTGGTTGCGTTAACTCACGCGATGCCTACACCCTTAGTCTGAAGTATTCATCCATCGAGGCTATGTAGCTTGACTCACACGCTGCCTTGCACCATGCCGTATGTAGCTGCATTTTTGTTTCAGTACCGTGCTTGCAGAGACATATGCCGGTGTGTATAGATAGAGGTGATTTTGCCTGTGTAAAGCAGACCGGTTGCTTTTCTCTCTTTGACACAACCCAGCGCCGCCAGAAAGTCGCATACTCACAAGGTCAAATTCTTCGATATCAGTACGCACATGTAAACCTTTGCAAGAAAGAAAGCTCTGTATTTATCTATACATGATGCAAGCATACATGCAAGTACCAAAGACATGCACTTGTATATCTGCATTCGTACATGCCGGCACACACTCGTGCATACAGGCACGCGCGCTTGCATACACCCATACATCAATGCGTGCATGTCAGATGCATGCATAAGTTCTCACCTGCATACATGCGTGTGCAAGCATGCGGAAGGGACGTGTAGGGGCGAATCACAAGGGTTCCTAGTTGGTGTGCATTGAACAAGGATACAGAACAAGGTATACACACAATGCACATGCACTCAGACATACACATACACATACATACACACGAACATGTATATATATATATATATATATATATTTTTTTATTTACACACATGTGTGTATATATATATATATATACACATGTGGATATATATATATATATATATATATGTATATAGATGTATTCTGTGGCATATGCAAAACAAAAACATGTGTGTAGATGTATGTGGACATCCTGTTTGAAGTGCATATGTGCATCCGTAAGCTACATAATTGCCTGCATGCCTTGCATTCATTCATCCGTCCACCCATCATGCATTGCGTCCATTTCCGTGCATCCATGCCTGCATACCTAGTTTGCATGCGTCAGACCTTTGCCCTGCTACAGTGCCTGGGAGTGCCTGCGATTGTTGTTGCCATCACAACGCATCAAGAGACGAATGCAGAGACTGTTTGAATGCTTGTTCCAGGCGGAAGGCACGGATTTGATGTCGGCGAGCCCGGCTTGCTTCAGGGCATTGTCTCCAGTGTACGACCCCTAAACCCGAAACTCTAAGCCCTAAGCCCGAAACCTGAAACAGGAGCCTCGGTCCGACGTCGCTAGTTCCCAGAGAGCCCGCTACCCCTCAATGAAGGAATGGAGTTCAAATCATGATCATAAGCCCCTTATGGTTTTAAGGTTTATCCCATTATTATTAAGGGATGTTGGGCTCTCTGTGTTAGGTTCGATTTAGCGTTTAGGGTCTATGATGATGGGATAAAGATCTACGGGTGTTGGGTGAGAACAACAACATTGCACAGTCGGCTGCCAAAGCAACATGTATGCAAGTAGTTTGTTGATACTTGCATTTTCTTGCACATGATGTAAGAATGCGTCCAGTGCTGCAAAAATATCTTGAAGACCCCCTTTCCACCCCGCTCACGATTATTGAGGATTGAAGGTGTTGGGGCAGGCTTGCAGGTTCTGCGAGAATTTCAGGCTGATTGGAGGGGAGGCTTTGCATCTTGGCTTTTGCAATCGATTGTTTGGTTGCTCTAAGCACCCGACACCACTCGTCGCGCCAGAAATTCCTCCAGTACTGGCCCGACAGAAGGATATCGGGCAAGGCGGCAATGGAGCATGAGTACTTCAGGCGGGCACTTTCAGGGACAGTCCTAGGTTGAAAGGGGCTTAAACTAGTATGATTTAAGGGATATTCCGATATTCCTCATCAAAGGGGTGTTGAGCTCTCCGGGTTCCGAGCTTCAGGTTCTGGAAAGAGGGTGTTGGCTCGAACACCCCCTCCGGGTGTCTCAAAGAATAACCAACCAACTGACAGCAGTGTTCGAAGGGCCGGGACTTTTTTGGCATTGTGATGCTGGCACTGTCTCCGGCAGAACACATCATTGAATCACCAGAAACTTCCGCTCTCGTTATGTGTTGTCAGCCAGATGGGGATTTCCGAAAATAGGGGACCCGAAAACAAGTACCCTACACAGTAGGATCCTTACGAATTGGACCCCAAAAAAGACGGTACCCCTAATTCTCCTACCCTCGAGGCTTAGGCCGACTCCAACATCAAAAAAGAAACCCCTAAACCCTTAACCCTAAACCTAAACCGCTAAACCCTAAACCCTAAACCGTAAACCTTAAACTGCACCTTTGCGGAGGGGTCTCGGGGAAGCCATCAAGAACATGAAGTGAGCCCACGGGCACTGGGCGAGACTGGGCGCTTCAGACCCCAGTGAATCGAACTTCCCGAGCTTGTTTGAAAAAAACTTGTGATTTAGGGTTTAGGGTTAACTAGTGATCATCTTAGTGACAGAAGAAGCTGCAGCCATAGAATCTTGGTTGTTGGGCTTCGCTTTTAGATTTGTTCAGCTTAAGAAATAATAAGGGTTTGGATTTGCATCTTGGGAGACTGTGTTAGACATGCTCTGGAGCTGTGGCATTCTTTGCCTAGAATGTCCGCCGTCGCAGATCGTTTGCTCGTGCTGTCTCACATGCAGCTGTCCAGCGGATGACGAACCTATTCCTGGCCAGTGCCTCTTGCTCCTGGCAGAATGTGGGGCAAGTGTTGCACCCCGCAGCAGTATGCAAAATACAGTTTCCCAAGTTTTTAGACGCAGCAACACCCCAACTAGCTGTATCAGAGGCTGTATCCTTGCTCTACGAACTTCTCAGGCAAAGCGCATCCTACCTGTGTTGAGAAATCCACACTTAAGGTCTAAAGCCAAAACCCTATACGAAAGAAGCTCGTATCCTCAAAGCTTATGAAGCGCGGCGAGATCGAAGCTACCTGACTGCTAGCCACATGACAGCCCGAGGCCACAAAGCCCTCCGGCTCTTAACCCTAAAGCCCTAAAGCCCTGACACCCCAAGCACTAAACCCTTAGCCCTAGAGTCCTAAAGCCATAAAGCCCTGAAGCCCTAAAGCTAAAGCCCTAAAGCCCTGAAGCCCAAAAGCCGAAACCGAAAAAGGGCAAACCCGGACACCTTGCATCCAAGAACTCTGCCCTCAACCCTAATCCCTCAACCCTAAACCCTAAATCCTAAACGCCAA